TCGAAGGCTGGCCTCGTTTATTAGAAAAAAAAGAAAAAAAAAAAAGAAAAATAAGAAAAGAAAAATGTGATCCAGGGAGTAGGAGTTTGGAGCTGAATGTACGAGGCTGGACCCCAGGTGTTGAGCCCTGTGCGGAAACCAAATCAAGTCGACACTGTCACCTGGGACGTGACTCGCGATTTTTTACACCCGCTGGCGACCCTCCGATACGTTCTCCTATGTATATATATACCTACATTTATCGTATCCTCTCGCTCTCTCCGTCCCTATATTATACCCTTCTTCTCTCTTATACTCCGTGAACCTACGTAAGGTCCACAGCATACAAGATCATCCCATCGAAAAATTCCAAGCCCTCTTTCCCTGTCCTCTTCCTATCTCGTTCGCTCTTTCTCTCCGAGCACCGTCGTATCCAATAGCAACAACGAAGGGAGAAGGGACGAGGATTCTCTTAAGCATCGTCTTCCGCTTTCTCGCTCTTCCAAACCTTTCTCGATATCGAGAATCATCCTGAACGCGAACAATGGCCGCGAAGTATAATGCCCCTTTACGATCTCCGCTTCCTCCTTGATCGTGCATCGTCTGTCTATCCTTTTCGGGGTGATTCTTCGAATAACAATCGAGAAAAGCGACGGATAATCGTGTACTCATTCGCATGCTGGAGAGAAAGAGAGAGAAAGAGAGAATATATTTTTTCCTACCGTTTCCTTGGCCCAGCCGACGATCGCACATGATAAAAGATAAAGAAGAAAAAGGAAGAAAAGAAAAAAAGAACAAGGATAAAAAAGAAAAGAGAAAAGCAAAATCAAAAGTTGGTGTGTATAGCTCCGTCGACCACAATCGAGAACTATACATACGGATAGACGTGCATATTGTGTATATATATGTATATATACATATATATATATATATATATACGACATTAAAATATATGCATATAGTTTTACATTTTAAATTTCAAAAGAATATATATGTATATATTCCTCGATGTATATATATAAATATATACATGTATGTCTATCATTATATGACATTAGGTATTATTCAATATCAATATATAACACCAATTATATGAGCTGTATCATTGTCAGTGTGTGCAGTGCGCTTCTGGTCGCTATATACCTATTCATATAAAAATAAGTTGCGTCATGCCGTACATGTACGCGCGCGCGTCTATGTGTGTATGTATGTATTTTATATCATCATTTTATAATACGTGTGTACATATATATATGTGCGCGCGTGTGTATATGTATATATATATATATATATATATATATATATATATATATATTATATTTTGTCGTGCGAATAAGACGAATATAAAGGTACGAGAGGCATGATCACGAGATAATAAGAACGAATGAGATCTTATCTTCCACTTGAGATGCGATCTCCTCGATCTTCGATACTTCGATTCAACCTCAAGTACGCCTTGTAACGTCGATTTTTTCGATCGCTTTCAAGCTTTCGCTTGATATACGCTTTTGTGCAGCTTCTTCTTTTATTTCTCAAGTTTTTTTTTTTTTTTATTTCATCGAAAGATTGCGTGCGCCATCCCCGCGTTCCACCGTCAGAACGGACTTCCTCGAAAATCTGTGCCCTTCCTTTTAAACGATCTCGATAACCGTTCAGACCGAACGTCTCTTCGAGATTTCCCGTGTATCATGAAAGTTTTCTTATTTTTCGTTCCTTATCTTATACCTCCATTCTTTGCTCTACGAAATTTATTCGAATAAATCCATGTTATCGATGAGTACAATGAATCCGGTATATCCACAGAGTTGCAAGTTCAGACTTTATATCGTCACGAAATGAATTCCACGCAAGATGCACAGATCCACGTTAATAAATACGAGTTAGGATAAAAGCGTTTGTATCGTCGATTCGATAAAAATACATAACAATGTGCAACCGAGTAAGAACAAAAGGAATAGCTCGAGGAAAGATTTACCGCTTTCGCCGGTCATTAATTACGTTTCGTGTCGTTTCACGGACAAGCATGAACTCTCAAAGATATACCGTGGAAGGAGCGTTTCCAACTTTGCGGACTTTTTCCAAGTTTCTTCGGTAAAGAGAAAAGGATATCGACTAAAACGTCAAGAGGACGCAGCTTTGCAATTATCGTAAAGCATAATGCGATACACGAGCGTAGCGCGTCATCGCATGGCCTGCAGTGCGCCTGGAGTAACGCCAAACGGAATGAACGAGTAACTTACGACGTCGACGACGACAACGACGACGATGACGACGACGACGACGACGACGACGACGACGACGACGACGACGACGACGATGCTTATGTGGCTGCTAATCCAAGAGCCATCGATGCCTTCCACTTTCGTGTTCGTCGACACTCTGACTATCTAGAGAATTGACCTATTATACAAATATATAATTATACCAGTCAACTGGATATAACGTTATTAATTAACTTATTAAGTATTTGATAGTTGACAACAAAGTCGTTTCTCCGCTCGTTACTCAATTACTTATCGGAAAAAAAAGTCTCCTTAGTTTAAAATGATCTTAACGAAACACGAATCAAGCCCTTAGTACTTCCGTGAAAGACGACGTAAGTTACGCATCTGTAACGGCTTCGAAAACTTGGTTAATTCCTTTGCCGCCTACGTAGTGCGCGAAACTGCCAAAAGTTCGGACGTATATCTCCAAATTTTACTGCGAGATACGCTTTTACCCGATGTTAACTGGGCAAAATATATCGGCAAAATTTGGCCGAGCTTTCAAAGTTAGCCAAAGTCCGATAAATACATCGTGCGCTTCAACGCTCTCGCGCGTCGTTAGAGGACGATCCGTGGGAACACGCAATAGACGATTCTTCACGTGAGAACAGCAATAGACGATTCTCGACGGGAAATCCTTGTGCGTAATACCAAGCGGGCTTATTTAGTGGTCTTCGATCGAGAGCGATAAAAAATATCGATTTAAATAAAAAAGGAAATCAACTCGACAATCGAATCATTATCATACGATGTTGAAAACTAAAGAAATCGACGAGATTCTTCGGCGAATGTTAAACGCATTAGTCATCTTGTCTTTTGTGCACACCCGTTGTGTATTCGCATCGCGAGCGAATGTACCCCATATACATATATTCGATGGATTCGCATTTGGGATTCCGTCGATGCGGTCCTATTTATCGACGCTTATTCCGCATAAACGCTGAATTTCAAGGCGTACACGCTGATACGAGTACATATTTTCGCGTGACTGCTGTACCTTTGTAGGCGCATAAAACCTTTCGATATTTTGTTGGAAATAGCTAAGCCAAGATCGATCGACAAAGAAAAATATTTTTTCTAAAATATAATAACATCGATAACGCGATATCGATAAAATTTAGTGCTTCTATTCGTGTTCGTGAAATTCGTATCCGTTCCTAGTTATCCACCCTATTTATACCTAATCGTTTTACGTATTGAAATTACGTCTAGCGAATCACAAATACACATACGGTTATCTATGGTTATCGACGATCGAACGCAAAACACTTTTCTCACCTTCGCTATATCGATCACCGGTGTGTACGAAAAGGCAAGGCCGTCGTCTGACTGTGAGTACGCGTGGAAGCAGTTTAAATAATTCGTACATATAAATCTCTATGAGATGGATATACCTTTTATATCTATATACACATCTAATATATACATAGATACACACGCGCGATGCATGCAGTATGTAAAACGTCCCGTAGCATGTTTCTCTGCACGTGTTCGTTTATCGAAATGCTCTCTCTATGTAGTCTTTAAATGTACCATATAGTAGTGCATAGAGACATATACATACATACATATATATATATATATATATATATGTGTGTGTGTGTGTGTTTGTAGTACAACCTATATATGACACACGTTCCTGCAACTCGTTCCTTTCGCGTCTCTACTTACGTATCTATACGCGTATAGTATACTACCTCTTATGTAGAAACGAATTATTTTCGCGTCGCGAAACACTCGTCCTGGAGAGCGCCGATGTCGACAGGAATCTCGAACGTACGGAAAATCTCTCGTTGGTTGTCTTTCGAAAGAACCCTCATTTATCGAGTTGTGATATTACGTGAAAAATAATTCCACGATAAAGACAAATTTGATCCTTCTTCCTTCTTCTCGAAAAGTTCGTCGCGTTGTCATAATTGTTTCTAATTTCTTGCAATGTAAATGAGACACTACCGATATAAAGTTTGATAAACGAAATCTCTTCAAAATCAACGCTCGAGAAGTTTATAACGATGCTCCCATCGAATTAGTCTCGTCTCGAGTTGCACTGAGATCACACGTGTAGAGTACTAGACTTTCTTGAGAGATATTAAGCGAGTGAATAAAAACGAAAGAAGGAAGGAAGGAATGGAGACAAAGTTGAAAAGACAGCTATGAAACGATGTACGAAATAGACGGAGCAAGCTAATAAAGAGAACGATATAAGGTGCGATAAGAATTTGAGCTACCTGTCGACGTCTACGATCTCAGTTCTGCATTTCCTCTTCCATTCTATCGGCCGTTCGTATCTTTTTCGCATTACGTCGCTACATATTTCGTTTAACCCCTTCCACGTTAAAACGACACCATCCAACAGAACGTTCACACCAGCCTTTAAAAGAAAAATAGAAAGAAAGAGAGAGAGAGAGAGAGAGAGAGAGAGAGAGAAAGAGAGAGTGAGATTGAGAGAGAGAGAGAGAGAGAGAGAAAGAGAAATGAAGGAAGCCGACGACTCCGTTGAAGTCGTCGTCGGCTTCCTCGATCGACGCTTTGATCTTCGTCCAGTTCTTCCCAGCCCCGCATTTCACGATCGAAAAATACTCTCTCGTAAAGACGCTGAGAATTTCCTTTATGCTTTCCCGTGTAATAGAGGATACTATAGCGCTCGAGGAACGAGAGGACCGAAGAGAAGAATTCATTAGCAAGAAAAATCGATGAAATTTTCTATTAAATACCATTCAATGGGTATATCCTGTTTTTTTTTTTTTTTTTTTTTTACAATGAACTCGCGTGTATTCGAAGGAAATATCTTAATTGAAAATATCTTTCATCTTCGATGAAATCCTCGTTCCTTTAGCGCTCAGACGAACGAACAAGTGACTTTTTTATTAACGAGAATTTCGTATCTATCGTTAGGACTTTACGTTGGATTTTTACTTTCGACAATTCTGGACGGATCCACGACTCGCCTTCACGCAACAAAAAGGCGTCGAGACGCTCAGCGTCGGTTCCGAGTTCATCAAGAACATCTGGGTACCGGATACGTTCTTCGTGAACGAGAAGCAGTCCTACTTTCACATTGCTACCACCAGCAACGAGTTCATTCGTATTCACCATTCCGGGAGCATCACACGTAGCATACGGTGAGTACCCGGAGCATATGGTGATATTCGAAGAATCTGCCAAGTTTAAGTACGAAATGTAAAGTCTTCGAGAATTATGGAAAACTGAACAACAAACGTGCGGAATCTTTAAGCTGAGCTTTCCTTAGATCGTGAAAATTCTTTCGCTGAAATATATGAAATCGCGTGAAATCAATGAAATCTTAATCGACAATAGTGACGCGATAAAAGAGATAGAAGAAAAGAAAGGATTCCGGTCTATCCGGAATCATAAAGAATGAAAGGACGATGATTTCTTCCTCGACTCGATTTCTCGTCTTCGATTAATTCGATCGAATCATTTCCATCGGCCCTGTTAAGCCTCCATCGTCGTGGGATAGAGGCCAACTATCATAGGGTGTGCCTCCAGGTACCACGAGATTCCTAAACTCCCTTGAGCCTTCCAAATGCACGCGCTCACGCTCCTCTCTCTTCCTATCGTCCGTTCGAGATGGCCTGTCGCACTTTGGGGAGCAATTGTGCCAGGCACGACAAATTTGTTGCTCCCTGTCCCGTTGTACCCCACCTGTATTCTCTATCCTTGCTATCGTTTCACCGTATCTAGATTCGCTCTAATCTTTCGAGCACCCAAGAGTCCTTCGATATTAACGGCATCACCTATATTCAAACGAGCCGTGCATATCTAACTCGGTCAGGCATTACAATTACCTTACTTTTTGCATTCCCGTTCTTCGAGCCTTCGCCTTCCTTAATGAATAGCTATTATCCACTATCGATCAAAAATTGTCTAAAGTTTTTCTAAGGTTTGTTTGTTTGTTTGTTTTTTTTTTTCTCTTTTCTTTTTATCATTTACCCATAAAAACGAAATCTGTTACAGCTTAACGATTACGGCATCGTGTCCAATGAACTTACAATACTTCCCGATGGATCGTCAACTCTGTCATATCGAGATCGAGAGCTGTAAGTATGCACAGGCGAGCAATATACGAACACCCGTGCGATTACTAAACGAGAAGAGATCCACTCGACGAGCTCTTCCTCGCGTCAAGATCTAATCACGATTATGCTCTTCACACGCAGGACCTCGATAGGACGCGCACCTCGACGGCGATACTTTCGAGAACGATACTCGACTTCCATATCGACCCTTTCTCTTTTTTCTCTCGGTTATTTCTTCTTAACGATCGTTTCGCCAAATATACAATTTATTTCGTACTCTGGAATAATTCGAATGGAAGACGATTGTCGACGATCGAAGAGTTCGAATCTTTTAAAGATTCCATTTTTCTCTTACAAGAAACATCCGCGAGGTGTTCATCTACGACTATGACGAAGCTTGACAGGATCAAAAAGCAAGCAAATACGTGGTAGGTTTATACACCTATATTTTACTGGCAATTATTACAAAATGGACAAACGTAAATCGTAATATATACGAGCCAATAATGAATTCGGATACGACAATGTTTTTTTGAAACATAAAATACCGTTGAATGATATTTTTCAACATTTCTTATATCTTCCCTACTTATATCCTCGTTCGTTCTTTAATCTTACGAAGTATCGTCAAAATCGTAAGCGAACGTCTCAAAGATGTTCCTTGTTAGACGAACTCGAATGACCTGCTTCATCTTCGCGCCAGTATACATAGATACATATAAGAACAACGACATGTTGTCTTTTCACTTGTACACGGTCACACGACGATAATTATCATATTATGTAATATCCCGTCTGATCTGATCATGCACCAAGGGACGACGAACCGTCATCCTTCTATCTTCTTTTCTTTTCCTCGAAGAAATATACGTCCAAACTTTTCCACCACCTATATCATTCTATATCTGTCCACCTATCTAACCGTCTATCTATCTATCTATCTATCTATCTATCTATCTATCTAATCTATCTGTCCGTCACGCGCCACTACACACGCTCACCGAACACGATCGGTCAGCCCGACATGAAGAAAGGAGAGCCGCAGGCTCTCCTCTCTGTCTCCATCACCCGTTAGACCTCACTCGCTCACTCAATCGCTCTCTTACTTTCTTTTTATTTTCTTTTCCGTTTCTTCTTCTTATCATAGGTACAATGATCGCATGTTACATGATGATCCATCGTCGAGTCGATGGGAACAGAATTTGGGATAAATGGATCTACTTCGTACATAAAAATTCGGAGCAACTTTCGACTCGAGAAGAACGAGAGATACGAAAGAAAGGAAAATAAGAAGAAGAAACGTCTGATTTTGCGATCGAGCGAGACGCGCGAAATAGCACGTCGTGAGGGAACGACGCTACGTCAAAATGGACGCGTACCTATGTACCCATACGAAACGTCAATGAGATTTTCAACATTTCGAGCTCCATTCCATCGATTATCCCATGTCTATTCCCGTGTCTAAGTCTCGTACCGATTTACGATTTGCGACTACAAATTGCACGCAAATAAGATAGGCGGAACCAAAAGAGAAAATTATTCTCAACAGTACTATTTATAATATAATACACGGCCCTATTTCCGAGACACTCGTGGACGAACGAGTAAACGAGAACCGACGCGTAAACCGAAAAGGAATAATTAATGTCATTCTAAAGCAAACGAGCGGTTACTATTCGTAACTTGGCTTGCGAGATACTCCGCTAATTATTTATCGTCTAATTAGTCGGCGAATTATTCGGTTCCTTGCGATACGTTATATTGCGTGCGTCGGCATATAGCTAACAAACCACCGAGTGAATTATTTCAATTCATTGGCGAACGCTCCTGGCGGTCGGCAAATAAGCAGGTAATAATGATAATGATAAATGGAAACTAGTCCGTAATGGACGGCCCGACGCGTTAAATAGATATCTCTTTTCCAATTTCTATCAGATTTTTGGACGTGTGTATGAGAGAGAGAGAGAGAGAGAGAGAGAGAGAGAGAGAGAGAGAAAGAGAAAGAGAGAGAAAAGTGAAAAGTCGTAAAACGCATCTGGCACCTTTCGTTATGTGAGATCGACTAACTGTGAGATCGACGACGCTAAAAAAGCATTCACGGGCGAAACGATGGAAAAAGTTTCGTTTATACCTACCGCCTTTCGTTAGAAAGGCAGAAGAAGAAATAAAAGAAAAAGGCGTCCATATCGTGCGAGATTCGCAAAAGTCGAGACATCGAAAAGTTAACTCGGTCAAGTTCGTCGATTAGTTTCATCAAAAGTATGAGATAGACCCTCGGAGTATCTTTCTGTCCCTTTAATTGCTTCTGATTCGTCGAAAGGCAACATTATCCCCCTTATCGTTTTTATCGTCAGGCATCGACATTAATCGTTCCTTCCTAAAGTCGTTAGACTTTTCGAAAGCACTCTCGAAAATACGAATGAACGTGCAATTTGCAGTAAGCTACGATATCCGTACGATTCTTTTTGCACGTATTTTCCTATAATATAAGATAAGATAAAAATATCTCTGAATGGTGAAGATTATTTTTAAGCGACGAAATTGCTCGTTGCTCTCATCGATGACGAGAAAAACAACGTCCGTTTCAAGACGAACAGCCGAAATTCCCTCAACGACGCGACTCTTTGTACGATATTAAGAGCGAAAATTTTGCAAATTCGACGTTTTGTAACGCACATGTCCGTGCAACGCACATGTGTGTTCTCTTTAATACGTATATATATATATTTTTTTTTGTTTTTTTTTTATTGTCGTTATTATTTTTCGTTCAATTCTTGACTTTTAAGCACCGAGCGTATGTAATTTGTGAACGCATCTACGAGCATCCTCCGAAGGGTCTCCACTTGACCAAGCTATATCACTGAATTGTCACATGGGTTTTTTTATAGCAAACGTGTGATTTCTCGATCGTTTCCGATAAACGAAACGCGTAATACCTACTCTTATCTACCCGATCGTATTTCGATCTCTCTCTGTTGTGCCTTCTAACGAAATGGAGAAATCACGCTACGAGCTAGACAGAAAAACCACGACGCACGCGCACGATTACAAATGTCTTGTACATATATATATATATGTATACATATATATATGAAAATGAACGGTGACCTCACCGGATCCGATCTTGCGATCGAGAACCTAGAAAGCGTGTGCTGTATTTTTGAACACCATCACCGCCACTATATATTCACTACCATCACTTGTCAAACCCCTCAAAAGGCCTCCGACATATAGCACTGAGCCTCGTGTCCGGGGACGTAGCACGGCCGACGACGGCCAGCCCCGAAGGAGGCTGATCCAGAAACGACTAAAGCTGTCGAATAAGGTCCGACCGAATTAAAACGCATTGTGCATCTAGCCCAGCGCATGAAAACGATAAACGAACGAACGAACGAACGAACGAACGAACGAACGAACGAACGAACGAACGAACGAACGAACGAACGAACAAACGAACGAACGGACGAACGGACAAACGGACGAACGAACGAAAGGACGACGTGCGTTAACCACCACGGTCTCTTCGTTACTACCGTGTCTTTCGGTATGCCTCTCTGATGACCTTCGTTTACGATATATCTTCGTTTTTCAACATTCGTTCCTTCCTTTTGTTTTCGTTTCTATTTTTCTTTTTTCTCTTTTTTTATTTTTTTATTTCTTATTCTCTCCTTGTTTATATCTTATACCAGAAGAGACACTTTATGCATGACTCGATAGCGATAACAAGTTTTAACGTTATGTAATACGTATATCTATATTTACTCGTACTATACATATATTTTACTCTCTCCGTTTACTCTTCTCTCTTTTTTTCTATTTTCATAGTAGAAGCGAATATTAGATGGCATGAGTATCTTTCAATCCCTACTGGATCCAGGGCCAAATTAATTAACGTATCAATTTGCCGCATGCGTAGATAGATAGATAGATAGATAGATAAATAGAGAGAGAGAGAGAGAGAGAGAGAGAGACAACAAAACGATTTTTATATTTCGTCTTCCTTTTATCATTTTTCTTTTTTCCTTCTAACAAGAACATACTCTTTTCATTCCAAAAAATATAAGTTACTATTATTATTAGTAAAAATTTTCGAGTCGTTTGAAAAGTAAGAATAATTAAAGATTTGCAATCGCGAAATCTTTCTAATAGAAAACTGTGTTCATTCTCGAGAATTATTGAAAAAGTTTAAGGGAAAGTAATTTTGGTAAGCACGAAGCACGAAGCACGATGCACGCTACACGAAAGCAAAGCACAGAATGGCGTTTCTCGTTGGTACGTTTGTTGAGTCTGCCTATCTTCCGCACCGCTACCGCATGACACGTAGAGAGCAAGAGGGAATAGTATTAGAGCTAGCGAGAGCTTTTCTTCCTCCGCTTCTCCATATCTCTACTTTAAATATATATATACACACACTCTCTACTTATCTTCTTAAGCGCAAACTTGACGCCACCACCAAAAAGTCCTCGATGCTCCGCGCTAATGTCGCTGCAGCAGCAATCCCTTCTTGCAATATTCAGTTGCCATCGCTGTGCCTTAATATATACGTTATACTCTTTCACTCCCTTCAACCGTCCAAGCCTTTTCTTCTACCACTACCTTCGGTAATGATCGCTTAAACGTTGATTTCGATTGGGAAATAATTTCTCGAAACGTGTGTACGAGCTCATCGAATTTATTTTAATCCTGCATCCGTAAAACGTAGTACGATCGTTCATCGAAGAAATTTTCAGAAGATAACACAAAGATGTCTTCTTTTCTTTATTTCTTTCCTTTTTTATAAATAATACTCGTTTCGTGATTGGGTATGTAAAAGGCCGGGCTAACCGTTCGATAGTTTGGAATTCTCTCGAACGAAGGTAGCTAATCTTCAAATGTATGCTCCATTCACAAATCGCTTAATACGGCGATGCTCGCGGTGCAATGTGGCTGCCGGCGCGATGGAATGCCACTTTAGTGTCTGGAATGCGATGTAACGATCGTAATCACCTAAGATTCAGTTATGGAGGAATGTTTCTCGATTCGGTATGTCTATATATGTAAGCGAATGGCTCCGAACATAATGGTATTAGTCGGGCATAAATAGATAACGAGTGCCCGGCGAATTCGGCAGCTCCTCCGATGTAAGCTCGTAAAACGGTCACGCGATCCTTGCCATCTTAAATAAGAAAGGACGAACGAACGAACGAACGCGATAACGCGTTATTTTATCGTCGTACTGTGTCATCGAGAGATGAGAAAAGGAATAGATACCGTGATTTGCAAAAGGGATTTGCATCGTAAACTCTTCGGGATGACAAACTTTGCATTTTATTTTTTTTTTATCTTTGCTCGGATATCGCATTATCATGGAATATGATCGAATCTGAAATAATTTACATAAATATTCATAGAAAGCGCTCCTAAATTATTATCGCAATGAATTTTTGCCCAATCGATTCGCAATATCAAAGGGCATCGTTCGATCAACGATCGTACACCGTCGTCGTCAATGCTCGATAGTCGTCAAGGAATTTTCTTAATATCGAAAGCACTCTGACGCGATTCGACGATACCTACCGATGATCTTGACAAAGAATTCTATATCGTCGACAAAGAATTCATAAAGTTCTTTGGCTCGCGTGAGGGTGTACCGAACGAGTTTGCTTTCGAATTTCACGAGCCCTCCCCAATCCAGTGGCCACACATAGCCGCTAAAACCCCGTCCTCGATTCCACCCAGCCACCCCTTCGATTTACGAACCCACGCGACATAAAACCTATGTGTTTAACTATTGTATGTTAGAGCGAAGATATTTGTGTTCTTGTTCTCCCGGCAGTTGGATACACAATGCGCGATATTCGGTACAAATGGAACGCCGGCCTACTGTCGGTCGGCATCTCGAACGAGGTGGAACTACCGCAGTTTCGCGTGCTCGGTCACAGGCAACGACAGACAACCATACACCTATCTACAGGTAGATATCCTCCTCTCTTCTGAAACTACTCGTCCAAAGGCTCGATGCAGATTTGAAAGAAAAAAAAACGAAAACGAAGTAAAAAAGGAAATAAGTATCTCCTAAAAGTATTCACACGCGCAGTACACCACCTCTTTGTCCAAATATTATTATCTCTAAATTATTTTAATCATTATTATATTATTGCTATCGTTCTCGCCTTTGTTCTATTGAAGTAACTTTCTTTTCCTTCGCAATTACGTTTACCCGCACAAAATTTGCACCCTCACCTAACCAAGTCTTACCGAATCTCTCATCGCCACACGACGACGAAGCATACGGACACGACGACGTCGATTGAGTCGCGCTAATTCATACCGAGAGTAACAGGCCCTAATTGAATCGACAGATATCCGGACAGCTCCGAGACATTTCTCGTGCCGCAGAGAGAGAGAGAGAGAGAGAGAGAGAGAGCGAACGAATTCGAACGAGTATATTTTTTTTAAACAATCAACATTATAGTTCGAATTGGTATCGCGTTCGCAAAGTATCTTCAAATTTCTGACGCACGATCGTACTCGGAGCATGGTCCATGATACCTCATCTTGATACCTCGATCGAGACACAGGATAGGAAGGGAACGTGCGTGTACGTGTATGTGTGCTTTTTTCTTGACAAGGAAAAAGGTGAGAATGGACTAAAAAATAGAAAAGAGGACGGATAAATAGTTGACAACTTAGACCGTTTAGACAATTAGATAGTTAGAGAATGCGAATGTGTGTAGAGTACAAACGTGCGTGCGTGCGTGCGTGCGTGCGTGCGCGCGTACGTGCGAGAAAACGAATGTGTGGGTGAATGTGCGCGTGCATGAGAGAGAAAAAGAGAAAGAGAGAGAGAGAGAGAGAGAGAGAGAGAGAGAGAGAGAAAGAGTACAGAATCTCGAGGTTTGCGGGGGTGCGAGGTAAGTGGAGGCCCCCTCGGAGCTTGGCGCGTGAAATGCGTGAGGGCTTCCGCGAGGTACGTACCAATCGCGGGGGGTCTCTCTATTTTTTCAGTCGGATACACGATGAGGGACATCCGGTACAAGTGGAACGAGGGTGCTGACAGCGTCGGTGTCAGCAACGAGGTCTCCCTCCCACAGTTCAAGGTCCTCGGGCATAGGCAGCGAGCTATGGAGATTAGTCTTACCACCGGTAACGTATGAACACAACCCTCGCCCCCGCCATATACCCAATCAAAAAATATTCTAATCGAGCAGACTCGCTGCAAGCTATCCACAGAAAAATAAAAGTAAAAGAAAAGATAAGGATAAGCGAGAGCCTAAAAAAATATACGAGATTTATATCCATCAATGAGAGAATCGATATCAAAGGTCAGAAATATATATGCCTTCGTTTCTTTATGGGTAAGATGGAGAGACACTTTAGCGCTATCCGATGTCCGCAGCAGCCGCGATTACCGCCATTCATGCTACTTCGTAGTACGTGCATATTTCTGTCTTGTCTATTGTATAAACATAATATTGTAATAACTCTTTTTTTTTGCACCACCATCAACGATATAGCCGTCGTTCGATCGATCGATCGATCTCTCTCTCTTCCTCGCGCGATCTCATCTTCGTTCATATTTCGAAAGGGGATATAGGATGCGACGATCTTCCCTTCTTACTTTTATGATACAGCTCGCGATCGTACGAAACTCGAAAAGATGAATTGCTCCCGGACTAGGGACGCTTTCCCTTTTTTTCCTTTTTCTTGTTTCCATTTTCACGTCGCGCGACTTCGTATGCATTTCACGCGTTCGCGTTTTCACTTTTTCTCTCCTTTTTGAAACGACGAAAAGAGAGAGAGGGAAGAAACGCGACCCGAGGATGACACATTTCTGCACGAAGTCGCGTACCTCGCTAATGTTCCTGACTGTTAGCGTCGACGTTAGAAAAACGGAGGGAGATAAAAGAGAAAAAAATTGGGAAGCGTGACAGGCGACGTTTGCGAAAATACAGAGAGACAGAGAGAAAGAGAGAGAGAGAGAAAAGAGAATAGGAGTAGGAGAAGAGGGAGACCAAGAGGAAGAGAGAGAGACCGACGAGAACAGTGAAAAGGAAGGACAGAGAGAAAGAGAGAGAGAGAGAGAGAGAGAGAGAGAGAGAGAGAGAAAGAGAGAGAGAGAAAGGGAGAGAGAAAGATGAGAGAGAGAGAGAGAGAGAGAAAGAAAGAAAGCAAAAGAGAGACATTAACAACGCCTCTCCGTCCCCCTGTCCTGACCTTCGATCTTTTATCGCAGGAAATTACTCGCGGCTGGCCTGCGAGATCCAGTTCGTACGGTCGATGGGCTACTACCTGATCCAGATCTACATACCCTCCGGGTTGATCGTCATAATATCGTGGGTGAGCTTTTGGCTAAACCGAAACGCGACCCCCGCTCGGGTGGCCCTCGGAGTAACCACTGTGCTCACTATGACGACCCTAATGTCCTCGACGAACGCGGCGCTACCAAAGATCTCCTACGTCAAGTCCATCGACGTCTATCTGGGCACCTGCTTCGTCATGGTCTTTGCCTCGTTGCTCGGTGAGTGCGATCGTGTACTCTTCCATGCCTCTACGTGCTACCAAAGAAAATAGAAAAGAAAAGAAAAGAAAAGAAAAGAAAAGAAAAGAAAAGAAAAGAAAAGAAAAAAAGAAAAAGAAAAGGAAAAAAACAGTCGAACAGCTCGCGATCGCGTTCGTCTCCCGAGCCACGAGACGCGTCCTTCCTCTCCTTCAGATCGTCCTCGGATCGGTGTCGACTTTTCCTCCTATCCTTTGGCGATTTGAACGGTTCAATCGGCCGCCGCCGTCGTCTCTCGTGAGAGCGAACCGAATACGAGCTCGTCCGATCAAAATATCACGTTAACTCCAATGTATGAGAAACGCGATGCGATCGAGCCCGATGAATTATCCTCCCGCACTTCTTCTTCTCCTCGCTTTCATCCTCGCCCGACGAAGATACGTATTAAAATCGAAAGCTCCGAGGCAGGTACACGACGAGAGTCTCTCGAATGGTGACGATAGCGCGTTACCTTCCCTCCCTTTATTTCCACGGCTTCTTTGTCTTCGCAGAATACGCCACGGTGGGTTACATGGCAAAGAGGATTCAAATGCGGAAGAACCGCTTCCAGAAGATAGCGGAAAGCATGAAAGCGGCGAGGGAAAATCCAGGACCACCGGGTGTACCCGGTGATCATGGTGATCACGCTCCTAAGCAAACTGTGAGTAACGTCGACCGAAGTCTCTCTCACCCTTCTTCTTCTACTTCTTCTTCTTCTTCTTCTTCTTCTTCTTCTTCTTCTTCTTCTTCTTCTTCTTCTTCTTCTTTTTCTTCTTCTTCTTCTTCTTCATCATATTTCTTCGTCCGAACGCAAAGTTCTTGGCATTTTAACTGTGGCACACTCGGATCCGCACCTACGACTCGTTTGCTACTTTTGGAATAAAGGGAAAAGAATTAGACATTAACGAGTTGCCAATTACTCTCGATTATATAGAGAGAAGGAATAAAGATAAAAGGAGATTGGCAAAGCGTTAATATAAGAGAAACTTGTAATGTAAAAATTGAATGGTTGCGAGTGTCTGCACGAAAATTGCATGCCTCCTACGCTGATAACTCATCGATCCCAACCACGAGTTATAAATCGACTACGTTAGAGGTCGATAAAGAAAGCTGCGGAAAGTTCGAAACGCGAATTCTCATAAGGCCTCCTCCTAGTGAAAGGAATAAATACGTAATCAAAGGACTTTAGGGTGAGATAAGATAAAGTTCTCGCGGTAGAAAGACAAATAAGGGATAAAGAGAAGGGAGAAAAGGGTAAGAGAAAAAAGAAAAACAAGAAAATGTCGTTCTTCCGACGTTAGGAGCGTGCCCGGGGAAAGGTCAAAAGCTAAAAGGTTTTCACGAAATGAATTCCCATCGCCCGGGTAGACGAGCGAGCGAGCGAGCGAGCGTGCGAGCGCGCGAGCGAGCGCGCGCGCGCGGGACTACCACATCGGACCCTCCCATATAGGGATGAGCGAGCAATGCACTATAAATTTTCTTTTAATCTTGCGGATTGTAGAACGAGAATGGAAAATATTAAAGGAAGCCTCGGGAAGGAACAAGGACTGGGCCAGCTCTCTAGGAAGCTCGTAAAACGCGTCATCGGAATCGAATGCTTTAATTAAACCTTCCACCGTATTATATCAGTATATATCGAGTTTGCCTAGTCTTTCTACGAGCGTAGGTAGTATCTCCCCTTATCTTCTATGTACGATATCTTAGATTTATCCTATCGAGCTAATTTCCACTCGCTCTAAGCGTTAATGCACCATACGTAGAAGACGTAGTGTCCTCGATGTCGCATGCCAATCTGACAAAGTAAGGGGTAATCCTTGACAAAGGACGCCCCAAATCGAACTGCCGTGTCTCTTGTAAGTGGTCCCGTGTTGTCCAGGAGGTGCGGTTCAAGGTGCACGACCCGAAGGCACACAGCAAAGGTGGCACGCTCGAAAACACCATTAATGGTCGGGCCGACGAGGAAGCCCCGCCTGCACCACAACATCTCATTCATCCTGGCAAAGATATTAGCAAACTTTATGGTACGCCTCATTCAATTTTATATTACGACACTCGATTTTTTACGACCGTTTTTCCATATTATCCACAAAGATAAAAGATCATTTGCGTTTTGAACCCATTTCAGAAGTTTAAATGTTGACTATTTAATTTCCAGTAACGACGCCAGGAACACAAAAGCCAAAGAATCGTCTAATCTTTGGATACGATTTCTATTTCAGAAAATGGATTTTTATATATATCCGCGTTATAAAAAACATAAAAGTTATTCATTTAATCGAGCTTGCTGCACCTGTCGGAGATCCGAAAAATTTTAAGAAAAGCTATCCTTCTCTTTTTTTTTTGACAGGCATAACGCCATCAGACATCGACAAGTATTCCCGCATCGTATTCCCGGTGTGCTTCGTTTGCTTCAACCTGATGTACTGGGTCATTTACCTGCATATAAGTGACGTAGTCGCGGACGACCTGGTGCTGTTGAAGGAGGCGAAGTAGAGCACGGGGACGTCGGCTGCTGTATCGCGGCTCGTAGCGACGAAAGAACGGATGAAGAGGAAAAGAAAGATGAAGGAAACTCGCACGAAAGGACGAGCACGGAAGGACGAAAGCGAAATAAAAAAAAAGAACAAACAAAATACGTGCTCGGACGAGTGCGAGTTCGTCAACGGCCATTTCCTCTCGTACTGGTACGAAATCCAGAATCCGTTCTCGTCGCATCGAATCGACGTTACTTAATTGAACTCTTTCATATTACGAACTATTTAAAACGCACGACGCGCGATACGTGAAAAACGCGCTTACTTATATCGCGATGATATACATTAACGGTAACGAAGAATGAAAGTGGTGCGAACGAGATAATTGCTCGAATTGAAGATTAACAAAAGAGAAAGAAGAAATTGAATATAAAAAGGGACGATCTTTCGAGCAAGTGGAAATGCGTCGTACTAGGCGCGATCATTAATATACCTTAAACATTGCCAGTTTAGGTAATTCTTTAGGTCTTAATAAGGAGACCTTCCATATACATATACATACATATACATATACATACATATATATATATATATATATATATGTATATATATGTATATGTATATATATGTATACATATATATATATATATAACAATATATATATATATATATATATATATATATATAACAAATTTGTCAATTTAGCTACTATTATAAAATAGTAAAGTTAATTAATGATAAAACAAAGAAAAAGAGAAAGACGAAAAAAGCTTCAAATATCGTCGGCTCGGAGCAACGCGTCGACGTACAGAAACAACTTCAGAGAGATCTAGAAGGGGAGATCGAAGATCGAAGATCAAGACATTCGAACGTCGATTTCGCGACGACATCGCTGCTGGCTCTCGGAGAGAAGAATGAAGAAGAGGTAGCTACTACAAATTCATAGAATACACACAAACACACACACACACAATTATAAATACATGATATAAAAAAAGTTACGGTGCGAGCGAGTCAACGCGAGTGTCTTTTTGCGAATATGCAGAAAAGACAAACGTTAACGGAGCGAGGGATAAAAAGAATATACATATAAATAATTAATCTCGTCGGTGATCGGTCGCACAATTCGTATTATTGTTTTATGTGACTATATACTTTTATTGCATTTGTACACTCAGCATTCCATCAAATAAACCGATTTTTCGCGATCACCTCAATCGCCTGCTTTCTCATAAAATTGGATAGAAATCGAATCACTTATTACTATCCGACTCGATATTTTCCTTTCATTCATTTAACTATGCGCAGCAATGCATAAAGAAACGAAAGAAAAAAAACGTCATTGGAAAGAACGCAATTCCTTTAGTAGAGATGCCTCTTTTCTACTATCCCTCGCCACACTCGGAAACTGCTGTACCTGTAGTATGTTTTCTCAGAGTTAATTAATGATGATTGTATGCCGTTCCACTTCCTTCTTTCGACTCTCCATCCTTCCTCCGCTCGCCTTTTTCTACTTCGTTCGAGAGGAACATGCAGAGTAGCGCGTATACGCACTCACATATACATTAACGTGTATGCGCCAATGGAAAAAAGAGAGACAAACGTGGAAAGGCGTGCGCACTAGGAGAGGGAAGAGAGAGAGAGAGAGAGAGAGAGAGAGAGAGAGAGAGAGAGAGTCGCCAATTCAGTAATCTACGTGCACTCTCCCTTCTCTCTCTTTCTTTTTCCCTCCTGCTGTTTTCCACTTTTTCCAGCCCTTACACTCTTTCTATATATTCATCTCTCTCGATCCACAAGGGGTAGGTAGCTGGCTGCAGCCTGGGTCGTGGAAGCTTGCCATTCAGGATATCGACCAGCTGACACGCCCAGCCTTCCCCCGGTCTTCCCCTTCGCTCCATCCCTCTCTTTCTATCCTCTCTCCATCTACATAACGTTCTATCCTTCTCTCTCGCTCTTTCTCTTCTTCGGGGCGCCCTACACCCTCCACAACCTTCCTCCACGATCACCAAACAGTTCATTTGCCAAACGCTCCTACCAGTCGTGCATTTAATAAGGCATCCTTTGTTCTTGTGTACCTTACGAGAAAGAAAAAGAAAAAGAAATAGAGGGGAGGAGAGGGGGAGAGAGAGGGAGGATGCGTCCCTTCTCTGTCGACATTCGATACAAGTATCCGAAAAAAACGACCATAAAGTGCTAAATGTATGATTAACAGAATCTTTAACATTACATTTGGAATCTAAATTATTATTTTTGATCAATATGCGGTACGTATTAAATTGCTTCATTAATTGGCAATTAATTGTTGGATGAAATGAATGAATCGCGACCGATCGTCGAACACGATTGTGAAAAATTATCTTCGATGTAGAAACGTACTATTTTGTTCTCTCTTTGATGATTTTCCAATCCCTTCGCCCGTCCGAACTCGCATCGTTCTCGAGATATTAATGAATTTTTGCAAATTCGTTTCTCGGGCAAAAAGATCTCGGAGTCAATAGGAAAGCAGAGCGCGATGCTTTGAACGTTAGAACGATAGAACGAGGGTTGATAACGATCGCCCAGGTAATTAACGAGTCGGCCGAATTATCGTCGCGCGATAAGAAAGGCGGTCAAATAATCGATATATCAAGACGCGTATTACCACGGCCGAGCACGTTGTCGGAGAATACGAGAGGTACCTAACTTAGTTTCTACCTCCTTTAAGAAAAAAAAAGAAAAAAGAAAATGGCAAGAGAAAACACACATAACTCATCTTTTATACTATTTCTCCGCTAACAGTAAGCGTGTAACGAAAAATCTCCTCTCGACGTGCTCCGCGCGGGTGTTCAAAGGAGAAAGGAAAAAATTGATCGATCGATTCGCCGACCAAATACAACGAGCAAAAAAGACGAAACACATCCTTTGATCCCCCTGCGTTCGTTTCTTTCACATAACGCGTATTATAATAATAATGAAATTATATAAATATCGACACACACTTCCACGTCCGCCCCACCGGAAGCATTATATACATACAATTTATATAATCGTATACTCGCGTTATCCGCGTTATCAAGTCTTTAAGGAAAAAGAAAAAGAGGGGGAGAGAGAGAGAGAGAGAGAGAGAGAGGGAGATCGAGAGGAGAAGAAGGAACCTTAGCGATATAAGTCTATACATATAACGATTTAGGTGCATTTATTCATACGTATATTTATCGCGTATGCATACATGCGTATCTCACGCGTTTCTCCGCATATGTCTATATATATATATATATATATATATATATATATATACATATATGCGTCTTATATATTACGTGTGCCTATATTATTTATTACGTTTGAAATTTTAAAGGGCCATGGACGTACGAGAAGGGAGGAAATTTTGTCCATTGTCCAGAACGTATCGAGCATCTTATTTTAAACAAATCGTGATGTCCCGATGAGACGAGAATTTGTCGTTCCTTTCGAGAGCTCGGCCGCCTACTGTCGGACAAGAGTGTCGAAATATCCCTTTGTACATGATCCTTTTTTCTATGCTGATAACAGACAACGGAGTTCACGGAAAGAACGGACGAATCTCGTCAAAGCCGGACGATAATTCAAAAAAGATTAAATAGACGATATTCGTGAAAAGATTAAAACGTGCGCTCGCGTACGCTTTCAATTAAACGTTCGTCATTAAAATTAAGTCGATCTTACGAGCGCTCCTTAATTAATACTTCACAGCTTTCTTTTCAACCGTCTAATTATGACAATCTCGTGGCACGAATGCGATTAAACGAATTCGTAACCTTTCGGAGTTTTACTTCTATTTACATAGAAACTCGATTTCGCATGAACGCTTCAACGACTGTTAACTTCAACTTTTAACGATTAAAAGAAGATTATGAAGCTAGGTAAGAAGAATTATATCGCATTGATGGAAATTCGAAGGTTAATTATTCGTCTTTAATTAATAGTCGTAAAGCATAACTACCTATTTATTCGCTTATAATTCTCGTTTGCTCGTGGCCCCATCGTTTATTATGAACATAATTATTACCTTTATTGTATAGAAATAAATCAAATATATATAAATGTTTTAAACAAAGAAAAAAGAAAAAAGAAAAAGAGACCTCTGTCCTCTGGCAGGATATAAATTTATGTTATCGGCGGGAATCTATATATTGCAAGTTATTATTATTCTATTTTTACCATTATCATGATTATTAACATTATCAATATATTAATATATTAATATGTTGTGAAAATAAATATCGTTGGAAACTCGAAGAGCAGGACAAAGGTGCTGTAAACTCGAAGTATATAAAAAAAAAAAAAAAAAAAAAAAAAAAAAAAAAATAAAAAAAATAAAAGAAAAAAAAAAGATGAGTGAACGCGAGGGGAGAGGCAAGGAGATAGAAATTATTATTACTGATACAAATCGATCACCTTGTAAATACGAGTTTTATACAGAGCATTGTATTCGTTCACCAAAAAAAGAGGAGCAAAAAAATTAAGAGACAGAGAGAGTACCTATTACAAAGTAATATATAAAATACACATATACATATTACATATACACATACGATACATATATATATATATATATGTATATTATGTATTATATATAAGTATACACACACACACACACACACACACCAAAATATAGTGCACACGAGATTGTGACTGTTCGCACGCACTTACGTAAATCACTTAAGAATAAGCAAACAAAAATGATATAAATAAATAGGAAGTATAGGCAGAAAGATAATAAACCAAAAGTAAATTAGAAGAACATTGGGGGATCAAAGCCGACACGCATGTTCACTCGTTCGTTCGTTCATTCGTTCGTTCGTTCGTTCGTTTCTTAGTAATAGAAGAGGAATGAGAGAAAGAGGGGAGCCGGATAAATTTCTAAAGGCGGTCGTTCGTCATAATCGATTTTATCCTATCGATTAATTAAAGAGGCAATCGATTAGCTTAAATTACTTATCGGAAACAAATAAATAGAAGGAAAAAGAAAAAAAAGACGGCTACGACCGGTTCGGTCATTGAAATTAAAGATGAGACGGTACGAATCGCGTTACAAACGAAAACTGCCAACTTTCTAATACAATATACGGTTTAAGCAATCGCGGCTACGCGACGTTATAAACGGGAAAGAAAGAAAAAAGATAAAAAAAGAGTGATAAGAAAAGAAGACGCTTACGAAAGGCGCGGAAAAGACGATGATAATAGCTTGTTTTAAAGAAATTCTGTTGTTCTCTTTTTTTTTTTTTCTTTTTGTTTTTCTTTGCAAGAGATGTACTTACATATGCAATACAATGGCTGGAAGGTTGAAACTCGAGAAACGACTATTTACATTTCCTTTTCCTTTTTCCTTTCTCAAGAACTTTAATTTCATTAAAATGATGAAATATGAAGCTGACATACATACTCTTCACGCGAGTACAACTTCGATCTCGAATAAACGTACGCGTGTAAACGTTCAATCGAGATCGAGGAATCGAAGCCTTTTCCGTCGCTCGTCCTGCCAGAGGAAAAAATCGGATCTCGATCCCCGAAATCCCCGCGTAAAGGAAAAAAATATTTATGAAATCGTGCGTAGCTCCGACCGAAGAGGAACGAAAGTACGACGATATTGCGCGACGAGTCGTCTCGACGAGAGTACCAAATTCTAAAACTGTAAACTTTAAATAATAACGCTGATGCATTATATTGTAGAAACGTATTCTACGATCGTAAAAAATAAGATAAAAGTGACAGTGTAGGTACACAATGAACATACATATGCAGCCACAGAAAAACACGCATACATATACATACATGTATACACGTAAGGAGAGACATGCGTTTACGAAAGTGACAAAGAAAAAAAAGAAAAAAAGAAAAAAAGAAAAAAAGAAAAATAGAGAGAGAGGGAGAAAGAAAAAGGAAAAAAATATAAGAAGGAAACTGAGTGTGCGCACGTTTCATACGCACAACACACACAAACTAATACACAATACAACGCACATTACTCGAAGAAACACACGAATACTCCCGTAGGTCGGGCGATTACTATCTCGAAGCGTTTATATATAATTAATTATATATTATGTTACTTTTACTGGCACTCGGTAGATATAGGTACACCGTTAACGTATACCTATACTATCCGATACACTTTTACGTGGCAGTAACGCCGACTTATATGACAAAGGAAAACGGGAGAGAAAGAAGGAAAAAAAAAAGGATAGACGAGGGACGAAGAAAGTTAAGTAGAAAGAATGTAAAGAGAATATGTATAACAAAAAAATATAGCGATCGAGCGAGTGAGAAAGATAATTTAAGTAGAAAAATCGAACAACGTGCGAAAGAAAAACGCGTTGCGCTTATGCGGAAAAGAGCGTCAAAAAGTGCGAGAATATAAATAAAATATACATAAATAAAAAAGTAAATAAATAAATTAAAACCTAGATTAGCGCGTAGACATATAGATTCGAAATAACCGAATGATCGAAGATTAAAAAGAAAATAAAAAAAGAAAAAGAAAGAAAGAGAAGAGACGGAGAACAAAGTCGAGAGTGAAAAGAGTGATTGAAGGTGTGATGAAGCTAGAAGAGGATACGCTATTCCGAGGAGCGCGTGCGTGTGTGTTTCTGTGCGTGGCTGCTGAGTTTTGCATGAGTGTGTGCATCCAGTGTGGTTCGTATCTTAAGCGGAAGTTCCTGTTCCTCGAAATGGCGAAGAAAGAGAAGGAAAAGGAAAGGGAAAAAATGCGATGTAGAGAGAGAGAGAGAGAGAGAGAGAGAGAGAGAGAGAGAGGACGAAGGCTAAAAAAAAAAGAAAACAAAAAAAAAGAAATAAATACGAGATCGACCCTCGTCATAGACGAAGAATCAAACGCGATTGCGAATCAGGCCGAGGAAGAGCGTCTTCTTGTCCCTCCCACCTGTCAAAATCGTATATCGGTGCGTGCCTGATCGAATATTTCGAGGAAATCGATAAGCGTCAAAGAGCGAAATATCGTAGCTTCGATTCCGAGATTGGACACGAGGAAATCACTTATTTTTCATAATTATTTCTTACCAATGTCGGTTCTTCAAAGATCGAACGTCTTCTCGTGTTCTATTATGGATCATCGAAAAAAATGATATTCTGCGTGCTCACTCAATCGATACTTTCCGACAATCGGAAAGAATATCTATAGTACGTACGTACGTACATACGTACACACATACACACATATGCATAACCTACGGCAGAATTCTTTTACGATTTAGTCATGCGTCATTAATATCAATTTTTTGTAATGTCCAAATAAAACGTATATTATAGTCGAAGATAAAGTTACACCGATAATTAATTATCGGTTCATTCGTTTAACGATAATCATTGTGTATGTTGTGTGAAATGTACAATGGAGCAAACGCGCGAACGTTATTACGAGACCTCCGATTATAGTTCTCTCTTCTTTTATATTTCGATAACCGTATTTCGTTCCGCGTCGTCTCGTCGTCTCGGCGTTCGCTGAACGCTAGATAGAATCTTTTCCTTGAAAGATCGATCTGCATTAGTGCTGCCATACGTTAGACAAGTAGTCTCGTTGGATCCCGAAGAAGTATTTTATGAGAAACGGTAGCGGCAATATCGATGCATTTATTGACAAGAAAAATCATTCGAGCATATAAAAATTATTGAAAAATATATCGATATTATGATATCGATGTTAATACCTATTAATCGAGAAATATAATCAATTTAAAAATAAATTCA